TGTACACAATTCCTGGAAGCTGAAAACATCCCAGTTCTTGCACGGCCAGCATACTCTCCGGATATGTCACCCATTGAGCATTTTGGGATGCTCTGGATCGGCGTATACGACAGCGTGTTCCAGTTCCTGCCAATGGAGTGGACCAACATTCCACAGGCCACAATCAACAACCTGATCAACTCTATGCGAAGGAGATGTGTTGCACTGCGTGAGGCAGATGGTGGTCACACCAGATACTGACTGGTTTTCTGACCCCCCCAGATCCCCCCAATAAAGCAATACTGCACATTTCAGAGTGGCCTTTTATTGTGGCCAGCCTAAAGCACACCTGTGCAATAATCATGCTGTCTAATCAGCATCTTGATATGCCACACCTGTGAGGTGGGATGGATTATCTCGGCAGAGGAGAGCACTAACACAGATTTAGACAGATTTGTGAACAATATTTGTGAGAAATTTTCATTTCGGTGCATCCCTATTTTTTTTTTTTTAAATCCATTTGATGAGAGAATCTGTTGGCCCCCAGGTACTTTCACGTTGTTCTATCTGGCCCCCATTCAAAAAAGTTTGGACACCCCTGGTCTAACCCCTAGCTATGGCAGCAACAGAGTCAGGAAGTCAGTGTGGTCCAGTTACATTGTGACATTACTACATTTTTGTATGATAAGCATTTTTTAACAAATCAAGTATCAAAAAATCTGTAAAAAATATTGATCTTTACATTTTACACACATTCTGCAAATGTGTACCAGATGTATTCGTACAATCATTTTGGCGCACCATCAATCAATACCAGACATGGTAACATGTAGCTGGATGCAACTGGTGTGACGGGGAGCTACGGACTTAGTTGTATTGCTACTTTTACTTAAAGGTGACCTATTATTCTTTTTCTTATTTTCTTATATATGTTACTGTGGTGTGGTGGTAAGCACTGTCGCCTCACAGCAAGAGGATTCCTGGTTTGATCCCAGGAGGGAGCCCTTCTTTGCAGAGTTCGCATGTTCTCCCTGTATCAGCGTGGGTTTACTCTGGGTACTCCGGCTTCCTCCCACAGTCTAAAGTTGCCCATAGGTGTGAATGTGAATGTGAAATGTGAATGGTTGTCTGTCTCTATGTGTCAGCCATGTGATAGTCTGGTGACCTGTCCAGGTTGTACCCTGCCTCTCGCCCAATGTCAGCTGGGATAGGCTCCAGCCCTCAAGAGGATAAGCGGTTACGAAAATGGATGGATGGATATATGTTACCGTGTTAGATGTTCATCATAAACGTGGCCAAAGTTTCAAATAATGAGGTAAACGTATGTAAAAGAAATCCCTGTGAGCAAAAACATCGGGCTTCAGATCATCCTGAATACTCTGTTTTAACAATTTTTCTACTTTGGCTACAAAATGACGTCAGCTCATGATGGATATTTTAAAATATTGTAATCTGCTCCAGGTTTAGATGCTTTTATCGGTGATTTTTAACAGTAGAAAGTGCCGCTTTATTCCAGTCATTCCCCCGGCTGAAATTATGGTGCAGAGATGCCGGGAGTTCAGATGTGGAGGAGCTGGAAACACAGTCAAATAAGAGCAGACAGGGCTTTTTCGGGAGGGGGGCTTAAAGAGACAAGCACTAAAACAGAGCGTCTCAGACGGAGAGTGAATACAGGTGTCCCAGCACGGACAATATAATGAGTTTTAAACACTTAAACATGTTCTAGGAGAAACCCAAAACATAAGTATGAACCTGAAAATGAGCACAATAGGTTCCCTTTAAAATATAAGATCTGCACACATCTTCTACTGTTATTAAGACGACTTGCTGAAGCAGGTTATCAGTGTAGTGAGACCTCCTGGTATCAGCTCTGCCTCTCATATATAGCGGGTTAGTTTGCTTGTTGGATCTCATACACCTGGGCCACGGGTGGAAATTTACACATATAAATAAAAAAATTACCTTCCTGTGTTTGTTTTCTGAGATCCACTACTTCTACATGGGGGTAAAGTTCCTGAGAGCTCATTAAAGCAGCTGGCAGTGAAACTGACAGGGATTTGGTCGTCTGTACAAATTGATTCCCACTTGGCATCTTGAGAGGAAGAAAATGGACCCAGATGGGTTGTCTGAAGCTCTCTGCTACTTCTAATGCATGCAAATCAGTACAAATTGTTCGGTGGAGCTCCATTTCAAAGAGCCTGTCATCAGTGGCATGTGAAGGAATGATGCCTCACACACACTCACACACAGTAACAAACACACATGTACCTTAAATAATGCATTTGTCATATTCCTCCCTAATCTAATCTAATGGGTCACTACGGCAAACATCCAACAGTGGAAGAAGGGTAACGAACCAAGCACGCCAACACCTACATTCACAAACACAACATGCACACCTATACACACACACTGGAAGCAACAGTAACTGAGCCAACAGTTGTAATGGAGGTATTGCCGGGTTATGATGAGCCTTGCAGCACCAAACCTGTCCCTATAATGTCGTTTCCATCTGACCCATGACAGCAGCTGGCTCCCGTCAACCCAGTACTTCCATTAACACAACAGAGAGTGCGTTAATAAATACCCTCAGAGGCTCCTCTTGTCGTGTGGCCACATTATGTAACATAAAGATCATGGTCTGTGGTTCAGCGGTATGCAGCGAGGTGGTGGGGGAAAGCTGATGGGAACACATCCAAACATTGTGGTTTGATATAAGTCCAAGCATAAATGGCTTGTAACCCTCACATTATTTAAGGGCAGCCTTGTTCCATGTGTTTAACATCTTCAGCTATTGTCTAATGCAGTTTTGTCTGAGACCCCTTAACACCTTGAATCAAAATACATCTTCTATCCAGACTGTATCTAGATATGATTTAACCTGGTTACATTTACAACTGCTATTAGCACCAGGTTTGTGTCTCCAGTGTCTTTAATGAGATACAATCACTCTGTCTTGCTAAAATAAACAAATGTTTGTAGCCGTTCTCCACCATTTGCTTAGCCATTGCTCCATGTTAAAAGTCCATGTAACTGAGGAATTCAACTGCTTCATTTATGCTGGTTTTAGTCTTTTCCTTATGTGTTTGATGACTGTATTTCCTGTCTGTAGCGTTTTATTTCTTAACTGTAACTGGTGTGCTCTCTTGGCCAGGTCTCCCATGTCTCTCTCCTACATTTCTCTCCCAGGTCTCTCCCAAAAGAGTCATCCATCTAAAGGGACCTCCTGGTTAAATAAAGTGTTAATTAAATGGCTCAGTTGTGGCATGAATTGCCAAGTTCTGCTTGTATACTTTCGTCGAACCAAAGTCAAAGCAGCCACTTTATCCAAGAGTGTCTTGGATATTCGTAAGCTTACTTGCTAGCTTTTCGCTAGTAGCTCAGTAACTGGCAAAGGCTGCAACTGCACTGGTTTGGAACAGTCTGGATTATATATTTCCACCCATGTAGCTGTTGTATGTGAATTGAAAACACAATTGCATTTGCTATTGTGTTTAATGTGGTCACAATGTGTCTCTGTGGTTTTGCCAATCGGATTACAACCTGTCCTTAATATGTTGTGGTTGCATCCACACTTGTATTTTGATGTTGTCGAAAAGTATCAGAGTCTTATATTAGCAGTCTTTCAGGTAAACAATTCACTCTGTTATATATATATATATATATATATATATATGCATAGATAGATATAACGAATCCCCTACTCTCATCCCCATCCCAATGGGGGTTGGTGGTGTGTCTTCCTCAAGCCTCTTGGGAGTTTGATCGTTCTGCACAGTACCTTAGCTGTCCCTAGGACACTCTTCTGGACAAAGACCTCAAATGTTACCTGGAAGAGGGTGAAGCCACTCCCAGTTTGTGGGCCACAGCCCCCAGTGCTCCAATTACCACTGGCATCACTGTTGCCTTTACTCCCCACATCTTTTCTAGCTCCTCTTTCAGTCCTTGGTATTCTTGAGCAAACTACTTATGTTATTTCTTCCTGATGTTGCTGTCATTGCTGCCACTGCCGTCTTATATTGTTTCTCCATCAACACAATATCTGGTTGCTTAGAATGGTGTTTAGATATTCAGTAATTGTCTTGTTTTTGTTATCCATTACACATGACTTGAGTTCGACAGTTTAAAAAACCTTTAAAAAAACCTATGAATGTGATTGGCATGACTGGATTAACCTTCTCTGGGTTCCCATTCACCCACCTTTTCTTCCTCTCCTTGCACAGTTTGTCTATGCTGGAATACTAAAATACGGAATATGTATTATACCGGCACAAAACTGAAATAATTAGAGTCTTAAAACTAGACGTTGACACAGGGACTCTCTACGACACAGGGCCTCGAATGATTAATTCTACCCTTGTTATATCTGTAGATATTGTACCTAAGTGCTGCGAACTCCCAAACAAAATTTAAGCACAGTAAACCAGGAACTTTAGGGGTCCCTGGAGTTCTGAGGTTGGTAATCCAGTCTCACTGATTGGCCTCAAAAGTCCAGTATTAGTTGGGCTCTAATAAACAATTCCTACTAATGATGCACTAGAATATCTACTGATGCAACAGAGCAATAAAGCAGACTCAAAAAGTAATTTAATTCATATCCCTTAGCAATAAAATACATCACTTGACTCAGTTATTTGTGGTCAAAGAGGATACTGAGAATTGTCTCCTGCTTGAGGCTCTTATTATGTACTGTAAAACTTTTAAATCATAACTAATTGATAACTTGGCTTGATTTTGTCCTTGTATTAATGAGAGTGGTCATTTGACAGAAGCACTCAGGTCCCCTCTTTCTCTGCTGTCAAACATCAGCACTACAGGGATCCATCTTTTCATCCCCATCTGAGCTGAGGAGGTCTCTCATTAATGGTGGTTTAATGTGGATAATAAGCCTATCACTGTCATCTTCACTCACTGAGCCTCTTACGGAGTTTGGCTGGTTTCAAGGACAGCAAGAATCCCCGAGTCTTTCATCTCACAACACCCACAGCAAACGACAGCAGCGTCTTGGGTTATTAACTCACAGAGCCTGAAGAGCAGTTGTCCACCTCCCCGACCTCGTAGAGGACAACATCCTTGATGAACACAGCGATGGCCTTCAGGATGAATGACACAAAGAGATGCATGTGGATGTAGTTCCTTGTGCAGTGGAGCTTCCTAAGTACAAGAAGAGATACAAGAATACAGGTCAAGACAAAGAGACACACACAATTGACAGAGGGTCGTCATGCTAATTATCCAATGTCCTTGGAGTAAGGGCTTAAAATGACAACAGATCACAGAGTGACATCACACATAATTGAACTCATCAGCTCCTTTTATGTGGGTGGATCTGCTTCAGCGCACAATGAATGCATTTTCCAGTCATTCACACGCCTCGCCAATAAAATCAAGAGAGGTGGATCTCAAAATGGCTAATCACAAACATTTAGAAATCCTCCTTTGAATTTTTTCTGACTTTCTGATTGCATTATCATACTTGAGATGGTAAAATGATTAGGGAGAGAGATGAGTGCAAATGTCTGCAGTCGTGTCAAAGCTCCCATTTAGCTCAGATAATTTGCTGTTCTCAGGGTGGTGAAATATTCAGCTGTGACACAGCACATGCCCAATCACTTAAAAATCCCCTCTGGAATCATTAAAGTTTCATGTGAGCTTATCTCACAGCCAGGAGAGCTTGTTAACACTCTGTCACATCCATTTAAAAATGACAATATGCAAACTGTGACTATTATTTCATTAAATGCTTGTTTTCAGCTGCTACTGCAATGTAAACATCAACATTTCCTTAACATTTTAGATATTAAGAAAATTTTTGTGGCTGAATGAAATCAGTCTAACTGGCATATACTGAAGCAGTAGAAAGCTCAGCAGAATGAAAGTGATGAAATACAACAGGTTTAATGATTTGTTTGTATTTTGGGGGCGAATGTGAGATCTAATCTCCAACATCATGCTGGCTGCAGACCACAGACCTTTCATCCACTTCTCTTTATCCTCCAGTTTCAGTATGTAGTGGCAATACACCACATCTTGTATGCTAAGTAAGTAATGGCCATAGGGTCGTACCAAATGTCACTTTTTTACATTCAAAGCTTCTTCTGATGTTTTTTGAATGACAGTTTGAAGGTTTGTCATCATAATCCTCCCTTTGAGGAAGGAGGATCGGGCCCATTGTGTGGGAGAACAACAGGGGTCAACAGACGTTTGACGAAGAGAGTCCCTTCTTTGAGAAGAAGCTACATCTGGGCAGTCAGATGGCAGTACTGGCCCGTAAGGTGGCTAAGCTGACAATAGCAGGAACCCAAGCTCAGACTCCTCCCTCATCTCTACCACTCTAACTAAGCTGAGTGCCATGGGGCATTTCATCCTTTCTTCTCCTCCAACAACAACAAGGAGATCGTCTCGTGTCTCAGTGATGGCTGTCAAACTTGATAGAGTAGGTTAAACTGAACAGACAAGAATGTAGCTGATGGATTCAAGCTTCAATCAACTACAACTGAGGTGGAGAAACTTGTGAAAAGACTAGAGAAGTTCAAGTTAGTCCACCACCCTTCACCTCAAACACCAGCAGCACCTTGAAGGTTTCTGGCACAAAGAGTTCCCTCTAAAGCTGCCCTGCCCAACACAGGAGGACCTCATCGTTGGACCCTGAAGGTGACACCCAACTTTCCAGCACCTCCATCAAAAGCTGTCCTGCCCAACAGAAAAGGACCTCATCATGGGACAAGCCTCTGTCCCCAAAAGGCTGTCACAAGCTAAGATGACCTTCAGCCTCTGGTCAGTCCAGGAGAAAGCCTGTCCTCAAATGACTGGTAAGACATCAGCACTACAGAGGTGTAGAGATAGGCATCAAGACCAAGAAAGCCAACATGCTACACTCCCTCTTGGATGACAGATAAATACGCTACCCCAATGATCTTCAATGCCCCCTTCATGCCCTCACAAACCTGCCTCATACATTTGGAGCAATCTGTCTGCAGGTCTTGAAACAGATAGTGGCCAAAAGGATCTTCTCAATGGACTCCTACCATCCTGACTCCATCAAGGCACAGGAGAGGGTGAGGTGTTGCTTTTCTAAGAAGTTCATAGTGCAGGGTGTGGCCACCAAGAAACCCCAGGACTTCATGCTCTCAACAGGCAGCAGCTCTGCCAGTTGATGCTCAAGGTCTGGGGGAGTAAGGAGGCAACATCCCAGTTGGCAAAGTGCATGACAGCTGCTTTTATCACGGAGGGAACAGCTCATCAGCTAATGTCATAATCAGATGGAGAAATAAGTTGACTGATTCATACCTAGGAGACTTAAATGAGGTCTTGTGTTGGCAGATTGTTTGCCAAGAATATAAGATACTATGCACTGGGGTGTTTTGTGCCATTTCATGTCAAGGCCACTGGGATCCAAGCCCTTACTGTGCATTCACACCAAAAGTGTCATGAGCGTCATAAGTGGCCGGCAGCCATTCATTTTCAATGTACGCTTGCTACGAAGGGCGTCTGGAGCGTCGGCAGCAGCGAGCAGCGCGATGCCAGCAACCAGAGCGTCACTGTGAAGCTCAACTTTATGCAAATGAGCAGCGCCGCCGCTGAAGCAGCAGCGAGCAGCAGCCAATTGCAGACCATGAATATTCTCAAGGCAGGACAGTGAAAGAAAGAAAGAGATCTTCTGCAGCGCAGCTTTAAAGCCCCGCCCCTTGGCAGCCTTCTGCAAGCCCTTCTGCAAGCCCTTCTGCAAGCCCTGCCAGCGACCTGAGCGACTGCTGGCGCTCATGACACTTTTGGTGTGAATGCACAGTTAGTCAACCAGGAGGAGACGGACAGCAGGGTTATACTCCACTTGCATCATGCCAGGAAGTTGGGCTTCACATTGGCAGTAGTGAGAACCCTGGACACCAACACCTTCCATTTGATCACTGGTGTCTGGTAAAAATGGGTCTGGCTTTGTATGTTGTCTAGTTCAGGAGTTATGATTATCTGTGCCACTCCTGTGGACATCAGTACAAGATGTCAGCCAAACAAACCCCATGGGCCAATGCAATCCCTCTAAATGAGAGCGTGCAACAGCGGAGGTGATGTCATGCTGTCCATAGTAAAGCTTATATTTCAACATACGGTAAACGGACTCATACTGTTGCCCTGTACCTCTTATCAGTGGTGTCTTTCAGAAACAGGTGGGACTCTCCACATCCCACCAACACTCATTAATCTCCCTCACTGTAACCCCCTCAGCTCCCATCACCTCCCACTGCCCTGTCATAACTCTCCTTCTGGCTCAAACCTGTGGTTTGCCTTGATTTCACACTTTTCCGTTTTTCTTTTTTTTTTTTCTGACCTTGGCGTTCCTTGTTGCAAACAAAACTCTCAGGTAGATACACTTTCACACCTACAGTGGGAAAACATGAAACGAAGCTCTGATCAGTGACTAACTCACACCGTGTGGTAGCAGAGAAACTATTTAGGAGATACATGAAATGCTACCCCCAAAAAGCAATTTCCTGTTTCCCTCCCTCTCCTGTGGAGGTGGGTACACAGCAGAGAATGGACTGCATCACATTACTTTGGCTGTGAATTCAGGGAGATGAAGCGAACACAGAGGACTCATGTAACAAGAGGAAGTGTTTTGCAGCTAGTGTACTTGTGGGCATTTGTGCAGCAGAGCAAAATGTGTTTTCACTGACAAAATGAATCTTATACAACTGAGATAGATAAATTACGTACAATACTGAGAAATATACTGTGTATATTGTCTATTTATTGTCCTTTAGAATGAAGTATTTGCAACTGAAATCTGTTATCTCTGTCATCTTTGAGGAGTTTTCAATCAATCCCTGACCCGTCAAATATCAAACATGAGTCTCTTTAATCCCGCTGTACTTTAATCTCCAAACCGCTGCAGAAATATGCCATCAAAAGATCAAGACACTGAAATGCATGATAGTATTTGTATCTTTCTCCTTGCCTTTCATAGTTTAACAAAAGCCTTGAAGCTGTGCTGATTAGAGATGATCAAATCCCACTTCATGGTGTTTGATGTGTGACACTGAAATGTATATAAACTGTCATGTTGTCCATATGCCCAGCAGGCATATAATGTCAGTGTCAGTGTACTTTATGATAAGCAGCAGTGACTGCTTTTGTTCTTTTTCTTCTTTATTTCATCCTCTTATCCTTCTTCTAAACAACCGACCACACAAGGCAAAGAAACAAGTTTATCTGTCAGGAGTTATCAAAAAAAGTTAAAAGTGTGAATTGTTGAGTAAAACAACTGCTGTCAAGAGTTTTCTTTTTCAGACTTTCTCCACAAACTGCCCACTTTGGGTCAAAATTTGTGCTCTTTCTCAGAGTCTTCACTCAGTCAAATTGGAAAACAGAGACATGATAAACATATTTATAGATTCAATGTGACTTACACTTTCTGGGGACATCATTCTTGCTTCCAAATCAAAGAAAAAAAGATGCTTGATAAACTCCAAATCTTACATTTTCCCCATTTTCCCCAGTGTCGAAGTAATCCAGTGATAGCCATGTGTATATCAGTGAGTAAATTACATTTAAGTACTGCTAATACTGTACCGGCATACCTTTAAAGGTCCCAATTTCGAAAAATATATGCTAAAAAGCTGTAGCACACAGCTGACTAACTGATTCCATAGTAACATACTTCCTGTTTATATCCCCCAAAGCACTGTGGGAAACAGGTGCAGGTGGTTAACAGTACAAATTGTAAACTGCTGTCAAGAGTGAAAACATTTCTTTTACTTTTTCAAACTTTCTTGCAAAGTTTTATAAATTGAAAATGATGATGTTCCTGGGGAGGACAACAGCTGAGCTCTGTTGTACCATGTAATCGTGTACCATGTGACTGTATTTCTACGTACCTGAAGAGGCAGAGGATCACGATGGCTGTGGTCAGAGATATGAGGGAAACACTGTGGCCAACCGTGTAGCCAATCTTCACTTGCCAGAAAAACTTGCCCTGAAGAAAAAAACAAGTCACAGTGAATGAAACTGACACACATGGTTAGAATATTTTGTATTTGTATATCTAAAATACATCAATTTGTTTTAATGGTTAGTTTGAGAAGTCCTTCTGCTTTATACTGGCCTACAAAAAATGGTCATTCAGAATGCTGCTTCTGGGGTTTTCACAAAAACTAAAATGAGAAAGCACATAACTCCTGTGTTATGTAACCTGCGCTGGCCCCCTGCATCTTTTAGGATTGATTTTAAAGTCTTTCTCTTAGGCATTAAATGGCCGTTCCCACTTTTATGTCACAGACTCCCTGTCGTTTTATGATCCTCCACAGCTGCTCTTTTTTTTTTTGGGGGGGGGGGGGGGGGGGGGGGGGGGGTAGTTGCTAATCTTTTTTCTTGATACCGTATTTTACTGGCCTCAAACGACAACTCATAAACATTCACTGTGATAGGGGGGTTGCAAGTTGACATACGTAACAAACGTAACACCACTGCAAAGGACAACACCACTTAAGTCTTTATCTGTAGAAATTATCATAAAAGTAATGGGAAAAAAATCCTCATACTCTTCTGAAAGTGAGCTAATTCCTGACTCCAGTGACCTTCAAGTGTTTAAAATTGAGATTTCTGCCCCCAAAAAGAATCAATACAACTGGCTCTGCTGACGTACTCCAGGCTCGTCCAATATAACAGCACACTGGATTGTTCTTAAGCACAAGTGGAGCCTTTCAGAGTCTTACTGCCATGTCACTTATGTTTGGTGCTTTATGAAAATGAGATTAAGAGCTCTGCATCCTGTGGCACCCCACGGCATTAAGTATGCAGAAATACAGACATCGAATTCCTTTTAGTGTACTCCACCAGCCAGGTCCCTCCTGACTTCCTATGTGGCATACTGATGAGGCGGCTGCTGTGACTCAGAGAGCAGAGTGCCCACCAAGAAAGCTTTTACCACCCTGTAGTGCACATCCACTCTTCACCCTGCTCCACCTCCATCAGCACAGACCAGATTAGATTTCTCTGCATTAAAAGTAAACTAAATAAAAGCAACATCTGATGTATTCATTCAGTTCCTATCCCTGAAGGCAACATGAATAACCTCTAATGACTCATAATGTTGATAATAGAGGCAGGAACTACGAGCTGACTTGGCCTTGTCAATGACAAGTTTGTTGTTCTTCATAGATGTGCCTGCTTTGGCAAATAATATTAACTTACTGGTCTATTCATTTTAAATGTAGTCAGAATATTGTTGCTTTTTAGGTCATGAACTCTATAAAAACCTAAAGAAGTAATCAAACATTTTTAATAATAATCATAATCAATTATTTTTATAATTACAGTGGGTAAAGCTCTGTGCAATGTGAAATGAGTCACTCACTGTACCAACCAGCTTATCACCTTAATCTGCAGTTCCTCTCAGTCTTTCATCCAAGGCACAGTTAGGTACTAAGTGGTGGACAAAGTGGAGCATATAGCTGCTAAAGAGAGATATATTTCCCTCAGGAGTTGGTCTGGGGAGTGAATATTGGCCAGGAACACGACTCCTACTGAATGCTAATGTTGCATTAAATTGCTGGATTGTAAATAGCCAACTGTTTGTTTACAAGTTTGCCATATTAACTTAAAAGGTGATAATTAATTAATGTTGTGTTGGTGGATTGTTTCCATAACCCCCAGTTGGCTGAAGAAATTAGGTATTGCGGGTTTAAGTACGCTACACTGTCAGCAGTGAGCAGTAGGTTGGTGACAGCAAGTGGTTTGCTTGAGACTGGCCCAAACTAAAAGATTTTTGAAATCTTAACAGATGTTAAAAATGTGAGAGACCCCACACAACGACATGCAATGGTAAATCTAACACTTTTGTACTTGTGTGGACAGCAACAGTTTGGTCGAAATAGGGCAAAACAGCGCACCACATGCTATCAGATTCTATTCATAAAGTCCCAACTCTCAAAAACGGAAGTACTGGAAATCTCACATATCTCTTACAATCAAACGTGACTTTAGAGTAAAGAAACATGGCAGAAAGAAAATTCAGAAAGAAAAACATGGATGAAGTCATGGAGACGGTATGAACATAGAGTGTACATGTTACAACCCGAGCTGTAGGTGATAAAATTCTGAGTTGAATCCCATTTGATATTGCAGTGAAACCCTCTTAGACCCAAGAAATCGACGGCAAACCTCAGAGCCCCCCCCTCACAACAGGACATCGGCTTGCAAATATTGGTTATTTAATATTTGTGATTTCATATTGAAGCAGCCAGGATGGACTTCCAAGAGACTGGGTGATGTAACAAAACACGTAAGAAACCTCACACCACAGGAAACTCTGCCAGGACGATCATTAGAACCATCAGAAAGTCATGTAGTGTGGACCTGGCATTAGACTGAGCAAGACTGGAAGCAGGCTCTTTCAGCTTTCTAGTCGTCTGACCACTCAAAGCGCTTTTTACTCTACATGTCACATTCACTCATTCACGCACACAGTCATACACTGGTGGCCGAGGCTACCATACATGGTGCCACCTACTATTCAGTTACTACTCACTCTTGCACACCAATAGAACAGCCATCAGCAACCAGTAAGGGTTCGGCATCTTGCTCAAGGATGCTTCGACATGCGGACTGGGGGAGCTGGGGATCAAACTGCTGATCTTCCGTTTAGTTGACGACCCGCTCTACCTTCTTAGCCACAATCAATGAATTAACATTAGTTAATTAATTAATCAACCATACATTAACATAATGTAAGAATTACAAACCAGGAATTGTGCAATAATTTTCTCTTGGTTAACCAGTGGAGGCACTGCACAGACATTTCTAAAGTCTCACCAAAACCAGTGGTCACGTCAGTCAGTCAAAAAATTTCGTTTTTATTTTGTACCAACACAGAATATAATATGGTTTTTTTTGTATTTTTCACTTTCTTTTTTTTCCAACACAGAACATTAATTTCAACTTTAGAATTACAACAATATTTAGCAAGTAGAACAAGATGTGGTTTCCGGCCACCAGATGGCGCTATAGAAATTGGGATTGCTGCTGAGGCTGTCAGACGATAGACTTTATTTATTATTTTATCCACTTTGCTTCAACCGATCACCACCAAAATTATATCATCTGCTCCTTGTCCCATTATCCACCTTTCCTGAAAATTTCATTAAAATCTGTTCAAAACTTTTTGAGTTATTTTGCAGACAAACAAACAAACAGACCAACTCCGGTGAAAACATAACCTCCTTGGCAGAGGTAACTAATGTTAATTAATGACCTTTAGAGGTATTGAGAGGTGCATTGATGGGGAGCAGCTGTGGCTCAGGAGGTAAAGCAGGTTGTCCACTAATTTGAAGATCAGCAGTTTGATCCCCGCTCCTTCAGTCCCCATGTTGAGGCATCTTTGAGCAAGATGCCAAACCCCAACTTGTCGGTGGTCGTAGCGGAAAACACGCTTTGAGTGGTCAGATGACGAGAAAGCTATACAAGTGCAGGTCCAAATACACCATTTCCAACTTTGGAAAGAGCCTGCTTCCAGTCTTGCGAAATCTGTGACAGGCTAGCTCGGCTAAGCTAATAACCAGCTATCTCCAGCCTTGTATTTAACACACAAGAGTGACATACTGTTGTTCTTTTCATCTGACTATTGGCAATAAAGTAAAAAAGAGCAAATTTCCTACAATAAGTTCCTTAAATAAAATGATTTATTTTAATAAATTATTGTTAGTATTGTTTTTGAAGCCCTAGCATGGACATACAGTTTATTAACAGGCTATGTACCACAGTCTTTTAAGGTAGCTGTAATTAAACCTCTACTAAAAAAGCCCACCCTGGATCCAGAGGTGTTAGCCAACTAAAGACCAATATCTAATCTTCCCTTTATGTCAAAGATCCTTGAGAAAGTAGTCGCAGACCAGCTGTGTGATTTTCTCCATGATAATAATTTATTTGAGGAATTTCAGTCAGGATTTAGAGTGCATCATAGCACTGAGACAGCACTAGTTAAAATTACAAATGACCTTCTGATTGCTTCAGACAAAGGACTTGTCTCTGTACTTGTTTTATTAGATCTTAGTGCGGCGTTTGACACAATTGACCATCAAATTCTACTGCAGAGACTGGATCACTTAATTGGCCTAAAAGGTTCTGCACTAAGCTGGTTTAAATCTTATTTATCTGATCGTTTTCAGTTTGTTGACGTTCATAATGAATCATCCTTACGTACCAAAGTTTGTTTTGGAGTTCCGCAAGGTTCTGTGCTCGGACCAATCCTATTTACTCTATATATGCTTCCTTTAGGTAACATCATTAGAAATCACTCTATAAATTTCCATTGTTATGCGGATGATACTCAGTTGTATTTATCGATGAAGCCAGAAGAAAGTAATCAATTAACTAAACTCCATAACTGCCTTAAAGACATAAAAACTTGGATGAGCACCAATTTCCTGATGTTAAATTCAGACAAAACTGAAGTTATTGTTCTTGGCCCCAAACAACTCAGAGACTCTTTATCTGATGACATAGTTTCTCTAGATGGCATTGCTCTGGCCTCTAGCACTACCGTAAGAAACCTCGGAGTAATATTTGATCAAGATTTGTCTTTTAATTCTCATTTAAAACAAACCTCACGGACTGCATTTTTTCATCTGCGTAATATTGCGAAAATTAGGCCTATCCTGACCCGAAAAGATGCAGAAAAATTGGTCCACGCTTTTGTTACCTCTAGGCTGGATTACTGTAACTCTCTATTATCAGGTAGCTCTAGTAAGTCCTTAAAAACTCTCCAGCTAATTCAGAATGCAGCAGCACGTGTACTAACAGGAACTAAGAAACGAGATCATATTTCTCCTGTTTTAGCTTCTCTGCACTGGCTCCCTGTAAAATCCAGAATTGAATTTAAAATCCTACTGTTAACTTATAAAGCTCTAAATGGTCAAGCTCCGTCATATCTTAGAGAGCTCATAGTGCCATATTATCCCACCAGAACACTGCGCTCTGAGAACGCAGGGTTACTCGTGGTCCCTAAAGTCTCCAAAAGTAGATCAGGAGCCAGAGCCTTCAGCTATCAGGCTCCTCTCCTGTGGAATCATCTTCCTGTTACGGTCCGGGAGGCAGACACCGTCTCCACATTTAAGACTAGACTTAAGACTTTCCTCTTTGATAAAGCTTATAGTTAGGGCTGGCTCAGGCTTGCCCTGTACCAGCCCCTAGTTAGGCTGACTTAGGCCTAGTCTGCCGGAGGACCCCCTATAATACACCGGGCTCCCTCTCTCTCCCTCTCTCTCTCTCTCTCTCTCTCTCTCTCTCTCTCTCTCACTCTCATCCTATTACTGCATCTTGCTAACTCGGCCATTCTGGATGTCACTAACTCGGCTTCTTCTCCGGAGCCTTTGTGCTCCACTGTCTCTCAGATTAACTCATATCACAGCGGTGCCTGGACAGCGTGACGTGTGTGGTTGTGCTGCTGCCGTGGTCCTGCCAGATGCCTCCTGCTGCTGCTGCCATCATTAGTCATTAGTCATACTTCTACTGTTATTATACACATATGACTATTGTCACACATGTATACTGCCAGATATTAATACATACTTTCAACATATTGTACCACAGTAGCCAGAACTATAACTATAATATTATTACTTTCAATAATGTTGTTGTAAGCTACTGTCATTACCTGCATCTCTCTCTCTCTCTCTCTCTGTCTCTCTCTCTGTCTCATTGTGTCATACGGATTACTGTTAATTTATTATGCTGATTTGTTCTGTACGACATCTATTGCACGTCTGTCCATCCTGGAAGAGGGATCCCTCCTCAGTTGCTCTTCCTGAGGTTTCTACCGTTATTTCCCCCGTTAAAAGGGTTGTTTTTGGGGGAGTTTTTCCTTATCCGCTGCGAGGGTCCTAAGGACAGAGGGATGTCGTATGCTGTAAAGCCCTGTGAGGCAAATTGTGATTTGTGATACTGGGCTTTATAAATAAAATTGATTGATTGATTGATTGAGAGTGTCCTGCTGTAAATTCAGTACATCTGTTGTATTCAACCCAGCCCCTCCATGCTACTCACAACAAGGGGCAAACACTGGAGTTGTGAAACCAACAATAACTAGCTCTTATCCTGATGGACCCAACAACACCCCCCCACAGAGAGAAGAAACATTTCCTAATTCAATTCTTCCTGCCCACTGGCTCTCCACATGGTTTCCCACTGTGCTGCTGAGTTCACTCACAACGGGACCATTGGGTCTCTGCACTGCTGCCGTGTCTTACTCACATCATCGCTGGTGCTGTTGAGATTATATCCACAGTTCATTGCGATGTCAATGGGATGCATCTCAGTCCAGCCGTCTGCTGTGCAGGTTTTGGAGAGGTTACCTGGAGATGGAGATGACATAAAAAGGTCACGGCCACCCAGACTGTAGATTTCTCTTTTACCTGCTCACCAAGTTCAATTTGGTCCAATGCTTCATGTACTGCTGTGAGACACACTGTGACATTGTCAGTGACCTCATGTGCTCGGTTGTTGGGTCATCTGCAAAGAAACTGCAAAGCCTCGAACTCCACAAACTGCTGTATGACTCTCTCCAGCTGATGTGAGCTCTTACTGACTTGTGCATTATGTGTGCCTGCACAAAGGCACTTGGCTGTTACAGATACTGACATTCTGATCCTTCCATTGTCACTCATCCAACCGCAAGTGAAGATTAACATGCTCTTGTTAAGGAATTGTGTACATGACATATAAGGAAATGTCAAGTCAGACCATGATGTATTAAAATTCCTAAACTCTAATAAATCAGTGTAAATCTGGTTAAAACAAGCCTGTCTCCTACAATAGACATTCACAATTTCAGTTGTATTTCTTCCTTTATTTCTTTAGGCAATAAAACTACTATAGTTAAGTTTGGTTTTGATTTAAAATGAATACAGTGTTGTGTGCTTTAATCCTCTGCAGCCTTTTTCTGTATCAACCCTTTGAAACCTGGAGCGACATCACTTCTCTTGTGTTGCATTAAGATGCCTTTTGCAGGTTTTTAAACCTTTGAATGTTGAGCAAATTGGTGCGAATTCTTTAAAAAATATGGGGAAAAAGGGAATGAGCAACTTGGTGAGAAATGTCCCACAAATTGCAAAACAAAAATAGATTTAGGAAATTTTATTTAAAAAAAAAACTACGGAAAAAAGAAAAAAACCAAGGGAAAACTATATTTATAACTATTATCATTATTATTATTACATTTTAAAATTATTTCCTTGTTTGTTTGTGTTTTTAAACTTTCATGTCTGTCTTTTTTTCTTCTTCTAATTTTCTTGTTTTTAATTTTCCGTTTTTACTAATTTCTTGCAGTTTTTTGGGTCATTTCTTCTTTTGCTGTTCATTGCCCTCCTAACATATTTTTTAAAAGAAATCAAGACAATTATCTCAGGTTTCAAAGTAAGAAATGTCCCACAAATTGCAAAAAATAATAGATTTAGAAAATTATACTTTTTTTTCAAAATAAAAGGGAAAAAAGCAAAAAGCAATGGAAGACGATATTTATTATATATTTATAACTTACTTTAACTAACTTTATAACTTTTTCTCCCACACATCAAATTACTTAGGGTTTCCCTGACCCTGCCTCAGTGCAACATGCAGTGCAGGTGGTAGTGAGTCTGACCCACTGTAACTGAGTGCTGTGTGTGCATCAGTAGTATGTGGAAGTTAAATCATGCCTGTGTTGCTCTAGCAGCTAAATTTTTCTTTCAGTCTAACATGTTGCTACTTGTCAGATTATGTTAGTTACCAACACCTTATTATGTTGATTAACAGCTTCCTTATTTCATGTCTGGTTTTCACCACCTACTGTCTTTGAGGCCAAATACAAGCAGCAACATATTCAGATGATTCAGAAAGCAGGCTGTATTGTGATATTGTTTTGTAGCTGGACTGGCTAAGCATTTTGTGTTTTTTTGTCGTGCTGAGGTGGGATTTTTGTCCTTTTGTCCGTGCTTTTATTTTAATATTTTCTTTCATTTCTATTCTTACCTGTAAATTTCCAGTCTGTTTTTTTTCATAAGTCCTGGCTCTGTGATGATGAAGAATATAAAACAGGACCATCTAGAGTCGTGACCTCTCTGGTGGTGACGCTTCCTATTACGTCATTTGTATTGATTCCCTATAATTGCGATTGTGTTTATTCTTAGGCGCGTGCTCATTATTTGTTGCTGCTGGCTTGGTTTTCTTTTGCTTCTTTTGTGCTCTGTTGTCAATGCATAAATTTAATCAAAAGTTGGTCACAAGATATAAAGACATGATTGTTAAAGTGTTGAACACAGATTATCACTTCTTCCTCCTGTATTAGAAATAACCTCCTGTTTCTCTGCCAAAGACATGAACCTCTCTGTGAGAGGAGCACCAGAAATAGTCTGTCATTAGGCTTATTATTGGGGTTCATTAATGGTTTAGTCATTTTGGGAGCATTGGGGTTTTTATGTAAACATTTAACTCAAATGAGACCTTAACTACAATGTGACCGACAGCCCATTTTCTCTGTGTAAGTGTTTTCCTATCATCACTGATGTGGCTGAAATTGAGTGTCACCCTGGGATGATGTTTGTGAATTTGCCCTCATCTTCTGTTTTGTTTCTCCTCAATCTTTTCTTTTATTAAAGGGAACCTATATTGTTTGTACTTATATTCTATCATGTATATATAATGCTAAAGTGTCGCATGTTCATATTAAAAGTGGCCAAAGTTTCAAACAATGAGGTAAATGTATGTAAAAGTAATCCCCATGAGCAAAACCTCAGGCTTCAGACCATTCTGAATACCAACATTTTTTACTCCTTTGGCTACAAGATGACGTCAGATTGTGACAAATGTTTTATATGGTCTCCTCTAGGTATGCTGATGCAAGTGTTTACATTACGTAAACCACACCCCTACATGTAGCGACATGAGGGCACTGTACAATCTTGGGTGCTGATGTAAAATGTTCCCCGATTTCTGAACATATTTCTGCTGAAACATGTCTGGTAGTTGAGATTTGTTTGCAGAAGCTTTTATTTGTGATTTTTAACAGTTGAAAGTGCTGCTATTGGGGCGTCAGTGGCTTAGTGGATAGAGCAGGCACGCCATGTACAAGGCTGTTGCCGCAGCGGCCGGGGTTCGACTCCAACTCGTGGCCCTTTGCTGCATGTCATTCCCCCCCTCTCTTTCTCTCTCTCTCCCCCTTTCAGGCTTAACTGTCCTGTCAATTAAAGGCAAAAATGCCCCCCAAAAATATCTTAAAAAAAAAAAAGAAAAGAAAGTGCTGCTATTAACCTCACAGTCATTTCCTTGGTTTCAATGACAGAACAGCGATGCCAAGATACGGAGAACTCACAAAGACTGACCAATCAGAGCAGACTGAGCACTTTTGAACATTTAAGCATGTAAACATGTTCTAGTAGAAACCCAAGATACAAATATGAACCTGTAAATGAGCATGATAGGTCCCCTTTGACCACTGTCATGACTGTGTAAGTTACACACACACACACACACACACACTGCAGGAAGGCACAGGCTGAGTGTCGCTAAAAACCCTGAATGGAAGCACTGACTCAAGTAGATTTGAAGTCATCTGTTTGTAGTCAGCGGGGTGAGGTTCAGTCTTTTCAACAGCTTTATTGCTGCACTGCAGAACTGCAGAAAGGGGAAGGACGCACAAGCACCTGAAAGCAGAACAATTCCACCTGGACTCAAGGTCGTTTCACAGACAGAATATTCTGGCAGCTTTAGCAGATTTACACATGCACAGGTTGTGAAAGCCTCATGTTTTGTGTGCAGGACACCATCCTGCCTGCCTTCTCATCCAACCTCTTCAGCTCTGTAAGATAAGAGATCAACCTGTACTGAACTTTTGAGGGCTGTATCAGTTTTCATATTTGACCCTTTGAATGTGGGCTTGAATGTGTGAAATGATATTTTATGAGATGACAACACAACAGCTGTACGAACATGAAATGTCCCATGCTGGAAGGAATAGAGGGCTGCTGCATTTTGAATGCAGTAGGCTCGTCTAGCTACAAAGGACGGAGACCCGTTCACAGAAAGAGCAAACTAAAATGCATCGGAAGAGCCAGATTTCAAAAGATGATGAGATGGGTAACATGACAGTGTGTTTTCAGTGGAGTTACAAATGACTGTGCTGGCAGTCTTGACTTATTCCGTGTGAAACCACCGCCCGAAACACAGGCATAATTTCTAAATCACACGAGGTATATAGAATTTAACAAAACAGACAGATTGATGTCATTTCTGTGCTGGTCCCTCAGGTCATAGTCAGACTTTAAGTGTCCTCTTAACCTGGAAATGTCAAATAGTAAAAAAGCTCAGCAGACAACCTGCCGTCAGAGTCAGTGTCTGTCTGTGTGGCTACGTGTGAAGAAAGTACAAAAGAAAAGTACGAGGGAGCTAAACTTGGGACAGGAAACTTTAGTTTTTGAAGTTGTGGATTTAGAGAGATTTGTGCAGCCTCAGTCTGTGTCTGTTTATCTCTCCGGTGGAGTTCATGTTGAGCTGTTTCTGTCTCATTATAGTTGCCTTGAGTTTGGAGGTACATTCCTGCAGTATTTGCATGCACTGTCATCCTTGTTAGCAGCACCATCCTCACAGGAGTTAATACCATCAAACCTGCACCAGTTTGCATTTTATTTTTGCAGGTTTCTAGAAATTCACACAGCACTTCTGCAATAACCTGATACTAGTTTCTCACATTCCATGTATGTTTTAATATACTGGATTAGACCTTCAGGACTACTGTTAAACGAACATGTCTGCATGGTTTTATGTCTGAAATAAATAAATGAAAGACAATTTTAGTTAAACCTGAAATTGAGAGTTAAGAAGAAAATGATTTTTATGGATTGTAAAAGTCTGTCAGCATGCCTTTGTACTATCAGGCTGAGAGGTGTTTTTATCAAGTTGTGGCTTCGTTTTACTGCAACTTCGATTTTTTTGTGTGTATTTGCTGAATGTGCAAAGTTCTTTTCATAAAACGCAGAGGTGAGTTGAATCAAGGCAAAAGCTATTCCTCCTCATTGAGTTTCTTTATTGAAGGTAAAGCAGTCACACAGGAGGAGATGTATTAAAAAAGAAAAAGTCCAAATCGTGTTTTAAATCTAAGAGACAGCTGAGATGTGGCTTGTGCGAAAAGGGCTGCAACTCAATAGGAGGAAAAGGTCACGAATACTTTTTACTTTCAGTGTATCAAAGTGAGAAATTTCATTATAAAATGACATTTGCCTTCGACTGAAGACGCCTACACCACCTAGTTTAAAAGAACAAGGTTATGCGCCTTCATTAAAATCTGGTTTTATGCCAAAATCTATTCTTCTAAATTGTTTTG